AACATTTATCAATCATTGTATCTGTTTTCTTCCTCAAAGGCGGCTTCCTTCAGACATGTGCCTCCTCCTGTAATCACATCCTGTGCACCCATTGCTTTGCACATGCTTTGCTCTAACTGAAGACTCTTGGCTTGTCAATATTCAGTGATTCCAGTGGGTGAGCTTGGCCGTGGGTGTTCCCTGATGGCGATGCTCAGGCTGGCAGCGCACATGGGTCACACACCTGCCCTGAGGAGCAGCTCTTGTCCTGACCATCCAGCATCCCCGAGCAAGGATCTCCTCAGTCATCAGAGGCAGTTGTGTCTTAAAACAAGAAATGGAGCTTTCAGGTCCCAGTCTCCTTCGCTTGCTCCTCTCTGTGGCGTGGGTGCAGTCTGGCCTTCCTGAAATTATGAACGGGGAATAAGCCATTGCTGGAAAGGTGGAAAAGCGCAGTGAAAAAATGCCCGGATCATGCACACTGTGGCTAATGAAATGTGAATTTACGTGACCACCCATAGCTGATGCACATTTCATGCTTGAGTGCTTCCATGTGATGAGTCCACTGCTAGCAGCAGCAACAGTTTTAATAATATGCTTCATATTTTTGTTAGGACTTTGTACACTTCTCAGACATAAGGGACCTAATCCCAAAGTGTGCAAATTAAGTTCTTACCTGAAGGCATATTCAGGCAAAGTGAAAACTAAGCCCAAAGCTTTTTAAAAAGCTTCTGAATGATAATAATTAGCTGATGTTTTAATGCTAATGTATTCCTATACTATACAGGCTATATTAATACCCATTACCAGTTTTGGTGTGAAATATGAGAAGAATAGGTACAAAAGTTGTAATTAAAAAGTCAGAAACCAAACTTTGGGTGAATCCTTTGGAGTGTGTGAGCACAGGAGTATTCTTATATTCTTTGTACTTACTGAGCCTCAGAGAACTGGAAAATGAGGAGCACCAGAACACCTGATAGATCTACTTAAAGCTTCAGGTCAATAGCATGCTTAAGCACATGCTTAACTTGGAGCATATGATTAATCACATCCCTGGTCCATGGAGTAATTAAACATGTGCCTATGTACTTTGTACAGCGCTGTACCAGCCTGCAGGCGTTCTCTAAATACTGGTGTGCCTGAGAAAGTGGTGAATCAGAAAGTGATTTTTGGCTGGAGTTTGGAAATGAGCTTAAAAGAGTTCGTTAGGCACCCAGGACTCATTAGATTTGAACAGCTATGGAAAAGCCAGTCTTGTTAGCAGAAGTGCGTAAGGAGCAAGGTGTGGCCATTTACCTTATGGGAATGCTGTAGTTTTGTTTGAAGTGAAATGATTTTAAAATCCCTTTGCTTGGCAATTTCCTGCTGCTCTCCTGTAACTCTGCTTCCCTTCGTGCCGGACAGACCAGACTCTGTCCCAGGAAAGCCCAAGCCAGGCAGCTTCTGGCTGGCAGCTTCTCTCCTAACTCGCTGGTGGAAGTTCAGGTACGTGCAGAACCGGAGGCAGCACTGGCAGGGTGATGCCAGCAGCACGGCTGCTGCTTTTCCTGTCTTGGGATCGGTCTGGGCACAGCGCTGCAGTAATACACTCCTTGGGACTGCTGGTCCCTGTGCGCTGCTGCTCCCCATCCCTGCACCTACCAACTGCTCCAGTTTCCCCAGCCCTCTGTGCTGGGCAGAACTGGTCTCGGACTCTTCCTGGCTATGGTCTGAAAGTCAGCATGAGTGGGAGACCACTATCAATAGGCTGTTTGGTTGCAAGACCCATTCTTCAGGTGGCTAAGAGACTTTTAATAGGACAGCTGTGGCCAGACAGCCTGGTTGGCCATGTCATCATTCATTTACTAGGAGCCATGTAGTCTCTTCCAGGCAGAGTCCCTCTCCTGGTGTTTTTCTCCTGGTGTTCTCCCTTCCTTGTGCCAACCAGGTTACTGTTAGTTGTCACACCAGCCAGCTCCCTTCTGGGTTGCTCTGGGGGTGTTTTCCCAACGTGCTTGCCTGGCTGTGTGATTTGACCAGGCAGCACTGCCATCCTCCTCACTGCCAGCTTGAGCCAGGGAATGGTCTCCTGCCACTCGAGATGGGTGAGATGTGGCAGCCTCTAGAAGACTTTTTAATGACTAATTGTTTTATTTTATATATTTGAAGTCAGTTAGCTGCTTTAATTTCCTTGTTCTCCAAGGCCTCTGCATATAAATGCTAGTGAGGTCACCATAATGAGGCAAGTCAGTGCAGCATCAAATGTTACTACTCCAACTATTAAGCTACTATTAGCTCTCTGAATAGTGGGAAGCTCATTTTCAAAGCAGCCTCCCTGGAAAGTCTACATAATGTGTTTGCTTATAAAACCTTGTAATTTTCAAAGGGACCCAGTCAAGATGAACAGGACCTGAATGTACCATCTCCTAAAAATAACTCTGTCTTACCAGCTCCTCTGCTGATGTTGGGGGTGGGAGGGAGGCAAAGTGATGCTCTCAGCTGAGGAGTGCAAACAAGTGGAAATGTAAAGCCAGGAACTGCTGTTCTTCCCAACCTGTTCATGGCTGATGGCATCTCCCAAACGCCTGGTGCAGCTGTGCTATGGCACAGAGTCTCTTGTGGGCAGGATGGCTGGGATGGATCCTGGCAGTCACAGATTTGTTCTCCTGTACTTCACAGTTAATACTTTCTTAGGGACCTCTCCTGTAATTTTCAACATGGTGATCAGCCCGATCTTGGTTTTGAGAGAAAGAAACTGAAACAAGCATCTTTAAGAAGGCAACCCCCATGTAAGTGGTCTCTGGGAGCCGCCTTTGCCAGCATTTCTCCACAGCAGCTCATTAATTTCAGGGCCACGCTGGTATCAGTTATTGTCTTGCCATCATGTCCTGGAGTCAACTGCAGCTCTGGGAAGTGTACAGTGCAGAGTCCATAGAGCTGTGGTGTGGTTTTGGCTGCTCTGAAAGCAGCCCTTCATCTTTTTCGAGCTACCAAGAGCAAATGCTGCTGCCATCTAAAACCAGAGGCTGAAGCTCTTGTCCGGGCAGAGCTGGATGGCAGCTGCTGTTAAATGTGCCAGTCTCTCCTGTGAGTGGGTGTTATTCATTTGGTTATACCAGTCCATTCCAGCCGAGGATCCGTCCCTTTGTTTTGTGTACAGGACAATTTGTTTTCAATTTTTGTTTCTGAAAGGAAACTGTCAAGACAAAATTCACACTTAAAAAAATGAAGGGAAGCAGCCCTTTGTCTGTTTCTAACAATCCCCTTCCATGACTAAAGCTGGAAGAATTCTAGAAACTGCAATCATTTTTTACCTTCAGTTTTGTGCTGTTCTTGCATTTTCTGAGTTTCAAATTCAAGGCACCAAAAGACTTCAATCCCAAATCACCCCAACAGCATTGGTGTAAACTTAGAGATAGATCTGTGCTCTGATGATTAAAATCTGGTTGTGCTTTATCTAGCAGTGGAGTTGGGGCAGCAGGGAGCTGAGGGCAGCTTGGGCAGGAATCCCATCTTGTAGCACCAGCTTTGAGAAGGAACACATAGACCATATAAAGCCTCCATGAAGGGGATTCCCTGGAGCAGCACATTCCCATCCTTGCTGGATTTGCCAAGGACACAACGCCAGTAAAATAAAATCGGGGTGAAATACCCTCCCCAGGCTGAAACCTGCAGCGACTCTGATTACCTGCTTTGCTGTGCGCTGGGTGTGCTCTGTCTGCTGCGGTGGGGTCCGGAGCTTGTGGTCTCCTTGGGGCGTTGGTATAACAATAAGTGCTGAGGGGATCTAGTCCTTGCCTGGGGCTCCTTCCAACTACAAAGAGTTGTTTAATGTCAATCTAAGGAAAAGGAGGGGAGAAAAAAAGAACTTATGAAAATAATACCAGCATGTATCTCATTTTAATCTGAGTCCTAAAAACTACTTGATGCTCACTACAAAGGAATTGATTCCTTAAATGAATGAAGCAGTCATGAGTGCTGCGTTCAGTGTGGGACTGCTGATGCTCTGAGTCATGCTTTGCTTCTTTCAGGCTCTGGCTTTTATGCTTCATTTAGGACACCAACGTCATTAGCATTCAGAGGGCTGCTGCTTTTCCTTATTATTATTATAGTGCTGTTGTAATTTTTTTCAAAGATGCAAATAATATTTGGATCAGAATCAGGGCTCATGTTTTATTACCAAATCAGGGCATAGGGTTTGCTTTCATTTGACTTGCAAGCCTCAGAAGAAATCCTAAATGGAGGTAAGGTGTGGCTTTGTACAGTAAGGACAGGCTCTTGGGGGTTTCTGGATGCCAGTTTGCCTGCTGCTGCAGAGGGTCACCCCCTGTTAGGACAGGTGAGACTGGATCCATCCCAGCATCCTGTGGAGAGTTTATGGGAAGAAATTCAGAGCAGAACTGTGGGAATCTGCCTATGGTTTTTGTTGAGCCCACCTCCATCAAAATCCAAACTATTGATGAATTAATAGGAAAGCGTTGCTCCCTGCCTAAGGATGTGCCAGGCAGGGCTGGGCTCTCCAGGAAGACGTGTGAATGAGGGTTGAAAATTCCCAGCCAACTTCTTGGCACCTTGTAGCAGGGAACTTGCAGATCTTTTTTAGATACTACTTCAGGTTCAAGTGGTGAAGTCAGTAGTAATTCCCTAATGAACAAACCAGCTTGCTTACTAAATTAAAAGCAACAGTTGCTGCAAGACTGGGCAGATGTGTGTGACCTGCTCGAGCCGGCTGCTGCCCTGAGCACCCTGGGCATTGCAGGTTATGATGCGGAAGAGCAGGACGTGCAGCGCTGCCTTTGCATTGAGCTGGTCAGCCCTGGGATCTCCACTTCCCCTGGACAGTCCCCTTCGCCAGTGCTCACCTGACTGCCGGCACCACGTGGATTTGCAGGTCGAGGTGTTGCTGCTGCCTTTTGTCCCTGCTCTGGGGTATTTCAGGGCTGCCTGCAGCGAGCTGTGTGCCAGGCTGTGTTTGATGGCATCTCTGCAGTGGCAGACGAACCAGCTGGCGTTGCACTCAAACAGAGCATGGCGTTTGCTTAGGAGGAGCCTGCGGGGATGACAAAGCAGTTCCACTGTGTCACAGCTGGCACCGGGGCTGGCGCTGGGCACATCAGCAGCCGTGTGTGCCAGCATGAGCCGGCACAGGCATGCTGCAGAGAAGGGACCCTGTGAGACTCTGCCCTCCTAGGGACAGACTGAGCGGCAGCAAGAAAAATGAGGGACTTTCAGGGGCAGCTGTGTTTTACTAACCCAGTCATAATGCCCCTAAAAATCCTTATTGTTCTTGCAATGGTCAACTGTGCCCTTCAGTGCGGGAAGGCCTGCAAAGGAAAGCACGTGGGGCAGGGCAAGCGTGGTGGGGCAGGTCTGCCCTCGGGAAGGCACGATGGCAAGTGGGAGCAGCGTTTCAGGCGGGAGAAAGAGGTTCTACTGGAGTGGAGCTGGAAGGATGCATGGTTGTCAATTGTGGTTATGGAGCACGTACTGTGCATGAAGCTCAGGGCACAGGAGCTGCAACACAAAGTGGGGGAAATGAAAAAGCCAAGTGCTTTTCTCCCTGCTCTGTCTTTCATTCCCTGCCCAGCTGCGTGAAATGCAACTGGAGAGAGGCACAACCCAACCCCCAAGAGAGCCCAAGCTACCCCTACCTCCAGTCACAGTTGTACTCCTCTTTCAGCTAACTGCTCTAGGTCTTTGCTCATCCCTAACACCCCTCTCTGAGCTTTATTTTCTACTCTTAATTTTCCAGATCAGCCCAGAATTCAGTAATGGCCTGCAAAGAAGCAATCTGTTAAATAGAACCATAATATTAAATTATTTGGCATCTTTATGCACTCTTAATGCTTTATTTCTGAGAGCTTCTATATGTTGAGTAAAAGTTGTTATTTTCACTAACTCTGGAACAATGTTCAAAGCTTTTCTCTTTTAGGAGCTCCACCTGGAGTTACCTATCCATAGCCAGTCTGGCTTCACAGCACCAACAGTCTGGTTGGATTACTTGTTACTTTTTTGGCAAGGTTTTGTTTAAGACTTTTATAAAGTTTATAAATTAATCAATATGATTATCAATTAATTCTGCTTTATAAGCCTATGCCAGTGGGTTAGAAATGCATGGTTTTGTCTGTAGTGACTACATAGACTTGCTTTTACGTAGCACTTGCCTATTTTTAATTGGGTTATATGGCTCTGGAGCAAGATTTACTCATTTGTTATTTGTTATTCTTAGGAGCATTTCATCTGCTTTCCTTAAAGCTGAATTCTTTATAAAGGAGAAGTGATGAGAAACCCTGCAGTGAGTCCCAGGTCTCCCTGAACGTTGTGAGGATGCTGCCATAGTGACACTGCTCCAGTTAAGGTATGGTATGAACCAGGAGCTGTACCAGCTGCTGTGCAATGTGCTCACATTAAGTCATCCTGCCATAGCTGTTGCAGAATTCCCAGCTCCCCTGTGTAAGCAAGCCCTAAAGGACAATCCTTATCTCAGTGACTGTGACTAGATAAGACGAGACAATGGGTGCAAGAAAGGCACTATCAGCTGAGGATGGGTACTGATCAACCAGCTGGGAACAAAGAAACTTGGGCTGCTCAAGGGCCCACAGGACTGCCCTGAAGTGCTCTTCCCTGTGGCTGATTCCAGGAACATTTTGGAACTTTTGGAATTGTTTCTTTCAGGAATGACTGCTTTGAGACCTTTGATTTCTGAGGCTGCCCTATTACAGGAAGCCCCAGACCCTCTGCTCTTCTCCACAAGGATTCCTTCATCTAGCAGCTCTCATGTCCATCGGATACTGAAACGAGACTGAAGAGCTTCAATGTTCCTTGACAAGATGGGTGGATGGAATTAATTCCTTCTGTTCTGATCCTGATACCTGCCAATCACCTCAACTGCTAATGGGCTGCAGAGCAACAACCTACTACAGTGGAATATTTTGTGCTGAAAACAGGAAGATTGGGAATGAGGGTTTGTAACTTTTTTGGATGTGTTTCTATGGCTCAATTTTTATCTTTAGTATCACCACCTTACTCAAAATAAGAATATATGTAAAAATAAACACGTTTTTGCTTTGAAATACTGGAATACTCCTCCCCAGCTTCTTCCTATCTCAGCTCTGCCCCTGTGAAGAGAACCTGCTCATGGATTTTAAAGCCAGAAGGATGAATCTGAACCTCTGCCACTGGACGCGCACAGAATAACTCCCGCAGCTCATCCCAAAGCCAGGACCCTGATGAATGGATCTTTTCCTAACGTGCTATGGGAACTCTGCCTGTACAAGTGTCTGACAGGCTGTTGTACTGCTTTGTATCCTTATGCCCTGCACCTCACAGCAAGCTGCAAGTTTCCGGCTGTTTCTCGTACAGCCTGCGGATGAAACCCTTCATGTATGTGACTGCGTGTGGTGAACAGGAGAGCGCAGCACAGGGGGTTGGTGCTATTTTTATCCCAGCTGTTCCCAAAACAGCTCTCGCAGCCAGGCAGGTCACACGCACCCCATCCAGTTGCCACACTGCCTGTCAGAGCAGAGGGTGGGTGAGCAGAGCTCTGCAGGACACTGGGGACGTGGCCAGGGGCTGATCTGCAGGATCCCTTGCGCATATCCCACAGGTACACACTGTGAGATAACACAGTGTAGCTCTTTAACACTTCAGGGCATTTCCAGCAGACCCATGATGTGTTTCTCAGTGCCCAGGCTTAGCCTTGCACTAAGATTGCAAGAACAAGTTAAGGTTTGGTTTTTATAAGTTCAGTGTCAATTAACACCTCCAATTTGGCCTGGAAAAATGCAAGAATATCTAAAATAAAGGTGTTCTAAAAAGTACACGCAGGCATTCATGGTATTTTTCAGACTCGGTCTCAGGTGATGCCATCAGCTTCTACTGCAGTTAACCTCTGACCCAGCCTTCCGTGATGTTGCCATCCCTAGTCTAGGCTAAGCAGTATGAACATTAAAATAGACCCTATTGAAATAAAACACCCTGGTACTCACATGCACAGAATTCCTTCCCTGAAAAATGGGTAACAGCAGATGAACTAAACTTGAGCCACCATTCATGTTACTTTGCACATCCCTTGGAAGGCGCACAGCTTTTAGCCTGGCAATAGTGTTACAAGAGTCCACAAAAACTAGACCTGAAGCAGCAAAGAACAAAGGGTTTAGGGTGAGATCCCAACAGGGAAAAGAAAAAAGTCAAATTTCCCTTCAAGTACAAGCAATTCTATGAATGTCAATTCAGGCACCAGTGTTCTGGGCTGCAAGGAGCCTCTCACTGCGGGGGACACTTTCTGTCCTGCCTGGTAATACTATCAGCTGCTTTCAGTACACAACTCCTGTCCAGAATAGTTTAATGGGGTATGCTCAATCAAAGAGAAATCGTATGTCAGCCACATAAATGGAATAAAGCCAGTGCAGGAAATACATTTTGGAGACAAATTTGTTGCTTTCTTTTACTGAAGCCCCTTGGTACTTACTTTGGTTCCTGATGAATAGCTGCTTCACAGAGAAAATACAGTTATTTAGGCAAACTTTGGTCACAATTTAAACATTTTGTTTCCAGCAAGCCTGAAGAAATCCAAGCTCAAGGAACCTTTAGCTTTAGCAGGTCCCTATTGGGCTTTATCTTTTTAGTTTGACCAGAATCGCCCTATTTAACTAAGGGAACATTTGCAAGAAAGAAGCAGCCCCTTCTCCAGTGGGATGGCTGGGCCAGCCTTCACAAGACCTGGGCCCTGTTCTGCTTGTATTGCCTGGGGTTCAGAGCTTGATATCTGGTACTTTTTGAAAAGGAAAACCAAAACACACACAGACATCTCCCCTGCACAGTGACCAGAGACTTCCCTGAGCCTCACCTTAAGCACACAAACTCATCAGCCGATTTAGGAGAGCTGATGTGTGCCTTTCTCTGCAACGTCAAGCCTGGAAACTTTGTTCTGTCCCTGGAGCAGGACTGCTGTTCCTAACCTAGAGCCTGGCAGGCACAAAGGCCTCTTGTCACTGAGGCTGATGCTGCTTACGTGCAGCTATTTGTTTTTTAAAAAGAAAACCCCAAACCATGCTCTTTTCTGCCTAGTAAGAGAAAACACTGTGGTATTCCAGGGAAATAATGTCGGGTGTAATGAGTTAAATCCCACCTTGTAATTGTCAGTCGTCCTCTTGCCTGTTTGTCATGGTGCCCATCAGTCACCTGTGTGACAAACACGGGAAGGATCCTTGATGACTCCTGTACCTGCAAAACATTCCCTGCCTTCTAAGTAAGTTCATATTCCTCTAAAGGTCACTTACTGTCTCCTTCAACTTCCTGTGACTTTTGTTCAGCATTTTAAAGGAAAAAATCAAGACAGATTTATGGTTTCTATAGTCTATGGTTTACAAATATACTCCCAGTTCTGAGCTGATCCACTGCTGATGATTCATTCTCCCACAACAGGCTGACATCCCCCAATAGTGCCAGCATATACAAGAGGCATTTCTAATCATTACATAACAAAGTGGAACAGAAAAGGACTAATGATAAGTAAATAGGGTCTAATGACATCTCCAGTGCTCCAGTACATAGGACAGGTTTTGGTCACAGCTATTACACATTCATGCCACGCTACAGGTTACAATATAGTCTGGTATTTATGTCTAGCAGCACAGATCTATGGTACACGTAGTACCAAGTGTTTTGCTCCAAGATGAGAAGCAAGTCTATGGATTCTAGCATGTGGACTTCCAAGCAGTTACAGCTTGCTCTTAATTGGCGAAAGGAAGCCAAAGGAAATCATGTGCATAGGAGTCAAATACCATTTTTAGGAGTGGGGACTGCATGTGTATTTCAAAAGGGATTAAAATAGCCAGAGACTAAGGCACACTAATGATTAATGGTCTCTTTCTGTGAGCTGAGGACACGTCCTACAGAATCTGGCCCTCCTGAAGTACAGTTTGGCCCAGCACATTTTAAAGGCACAAACTGGTTGGTTATTTTCCTTTACGTTGTGGATCAGCTATGTCATGTGCCTTGAATTGTCAGCTCCTGTTTCTGTAGTGTGTGATGTACACGAGTAGCTCTAACCCAGCCTGACCCAGTGAGCAGTGGTGTATCCCCACAGCCAGCAGCCCAAAGACACTGCAGTAAGAACTTGCACCATACATTAACCCTGGTGCTGCAGCTGGGACAAACCAGCCCAACAACTGTGTTAAACCCATTCAGTTTTTGTGACTCTCCTTGCCCCCAGTCTGTAACTGTGCTGCTTCCTAATCCCCTGCCTGTCCCTCTGGCCAGTGGCCACTGAGCAGTGCCTTTCCTCAGCAGGAGCAGGCAGTCTCCTGATGGAGAATCTTGCAAGTGGGGGTTATTCTTTAACCCTACTCCCCACAGGCCAGTCTCGGTAGGGTAAGGAGAGCCTGCAGCGCTGCAGCAAGGCTGGCACTCTGGCTGCCTGATGACCTGTTGCCAGAGAAAGCTCCACAGGGCCCTGTGGGTGCTGGGGAAGGCTGGAACCCAAGAGGAGGTGAGCTGGGGGCTGCTTCACGCTCTACCCGTGCTCGCAGTGTGGCAAAAAATGTCCAGGGTTAACCTCTGTGTGCCCCCCACCCCAGGCTGCACCAGAGAGAGGAGCCTCCATCTGGCCCAGGGGACTTCTGCAGCTCTTAATTGCTCTGTGCTGCTGAACAGCCTCACCATAAATGAGTACAAGGTGTTAAAGAAGGATGCGTTAGTGGGAAAGATCCCGCTGAAACAAAGCTTGGATAGAAAACACGTGCGTGCTGAGAGCACGCACTCTCCCCAGCCCTGCTCCTCACCCTGCGCGGGGTGATTAATGCCTTACAGACACACTGGCTGGTGTTCAGTACCTCTGCCTTGTCCTCGAGCATCCCTATGGCCTGCCAGGCCAGTGGGGTTTCGCTGCAGGAAGGAGGCCAACTGAGAAGCTGAGTGGCACCATCAGTGCAGCTGCCCTGTTCCAGCATCGTGCCAACACCACTGATGTGCCCATTAACGGTGTTTCTTTTCCTGCATAAACAGTACAAGGCATTACTATAAGAAAACTTGAAAATGACACAAGTGAGGAACTTCTGGGAATTCCTCAGGTTTTTCCATCTGCAGAGGAGGGTGAAAATTGTCAGCTATAAAAATATTATAGCTTTTGCTGTTAAACAAATCATCATTTATCAACAGGTAGCTGAATTCCATCCAATTGTGCTGGCAGAGACAGAACTGATTTTTTTCCCCAATACTATTGTATAGTAAGCAGCTGGCAGAAAACTGGCAACTGAGGCTGTGCTGGATGAATAAACCCATGAGCCTCGGAGCAGAAGGCACAGTATCTCATGGAGCAACTGCAGCTCATGATGGAATGTGTTGAACAAACGCTTGTTAACAATCTGTGCACAGGCAGAGAATTGCTTGATGAAAAGGTGCTGGAAAAATGTCATTTAAATAAGACACAGATTTCCTCGGGTTATCAAAAGAACAAGCCAGGGTTTATGTCTATGAATACTAAACTGCAGCAGCAAAGCAGCAAATGTTAGCATTTCTCACTCATTGAAATGGAGAGCCTGGTAATAATGAGTGAAATGTCCCAACCAGTTCTAAGATAGGAAAGGCAAGCCAGAAAGCCAACAGAGAGAGCTGGTTTTATATTGGTTTCACAGCTCCCAAATTCTGCTGGAAAATTTTCCACTCTTCCAGATGTTTTCTGGGGGAGAGGGAGAGAGATGCTGTGATTTCAAATGCTGTGCTGCTTCTAAGCTGATCAGACCACACTGCACCATCTGGGAGAAGGGAAGGTAATAAGTGAAAATGCCCCACCAGGAGATATTGCCTCAGGCTGGAGCTCAATGCCTTGTACAGCAGCGTATTACTGCCCTGTGTTCTGTACTTAACACTGCTCTGCTTTTGTCTCTGCTTTGCAGGCATTTTATTTTTATCATGGGTAAGAGCAGGAATGTGTGTGTCTGTGAGAGAATGAGCATGGGGCTGCAGGCTTCATCTCACTGCAAATAATATTTTGGCAGGAAACCTGCAGGAGATTAAATTAGGGGCCTAGTGACTGAATATTAAAACATTTCAAACTCTGAGTTCCTTTAAATAAGCAGCTACAAAACAAGGAGGGAGTCTGACAAAATTAGCAGGTCCAAATGCTAAAGGAATCCACCACAGGTCATTTCTTTATTGATGCAGATTTAAAACGACCTTTTCTATTATTTTTATTAGAAGCTGTGGATGTCTACATGCTATTTCCTCAATGCATTTTGAGTCCAGATTAGCTAAAGTTTTAGGTGTTGGCAGACTTGCTACAATAGAAGGGAAATGCCAATGGAATAACTTTAAACATGATCCAATCCCTGATGATTCATTGGATGTGTTAAAATTTCCTTTGAGACCGTGTAAGTAATGCAGGGACTGGAGTGCAGAGTGCCTGTGACTCAGCTCTCTGCGAGGCAGCGGGAGGATGTCAGAATTACTCACTGGGACAGGAGGAATCTCATTTATCTATTTATAGGCAAGGCTGAGATGAGCTTGTACCATTAAAGAGCTGAGTTTGCCAGTTCCCATAAGGGGAGGAGGAGGGAAGGACCTCACTTCAGCTGTGGAAATAAAAGCCTCGGTATGGGCATCCTTTTTCCCCCCATTTCCAAACCCGGTGACACGACCCTGCATGTAACCATCACCATGGCTGACACCCTACCCGTAAAGAAGTTATCTAGGAACACATGGCTCTGGATTACCGATCCAGTCTCTCACTATTACAGTCCATTACATCATATCACGCTTTTTGGCAGGCTATTCCAGCACTTCATCTTAAATTTCCAGCCTTAATATCATTTGTTCTTGT